TTATTATTATTATTATTATTATTATTATTATTATTATTATTATTATTGTTGTTGTTGTTGTTATTGTTATTGCTGCAATTTCTTGATGTGTTTTGCAAAATTCTTGGACATGTTACCAAGTGCCCTGATGACAATGGGTATCACTGTTACATGTTTCATCTATAACCGTGTAGTTTTGATGGCCAGGTTGCGATATTTCGTGATATTTCATGATTTTTTTCCAGTTCTTTTTCTTCGACTCTGGCATTCTCTGGTACAGCAATATCAATAAATTGTACATTTCAGACCTTGACAACCGTAATATCTGGCATGTTGTGTTTCAAATGGCAATCCATCTGTATTTGAAAGTCCCACAAGATCTTCACCATCTCATTTTTGATAACTTTTTCCACTTTATGTTCCCATGATTTTTTGGATACAGGTAGGGCGTATTTTTTACATAATGACCAGTGGATTAATTTAGCGATCATGTCTAGCTTTGTAGTCAGTTTGCATGATTTTGCTGCACTCACATATTAAGTGTAAAACAGTTTCAACTTTGTCATTGGATTGACAAATTGGATTGTCAGTGGATTTTTGTATCTTCACTTTCATGGCATTAGTTTGTAATGCTTGTTCTTGAGCAGCAAGTATTAAACCTTATGGTTCTTTCTTGATGGTTCCTCTCATAAGTCATGCCCATGTCAAGTTGTTATCACATTTTCCTTCAATGTTTTTCAAGTGCTGTCCATGCAAAGCTTTGGTTTTCCATCTATTTAATCTGTCATCCAGTTGTTTTTCCTTATATTCTGCCTTTGTTTCTGTTGTTTTTATAATGTTCTCCGTTTTCACAGCCTGAAGCAATTTTTCTGTACTTTGGTTCACATAATCATTCAAACTTCATTTTTCTTCTTCTACAGTTTGATGGATTTGTGATAGCCCTCTGCCCCCTACTCTTCTTTGCAGGTATAATTTAATTATGTTTCCAGAATTCAGCTTTGATTTTAATATTTTGCGGACCCTCCTGATGTATTCCTTTTGCGTTGACTCTTTGACTTTTCCATTCAAGATATTATCTGCTTCCAATATGCCTAGGTATTTGTAACCATTATCCTTTGCTAATGCTTTCATGATGCTTCCATTTCCCAGTTCTATTCCTTTTATTTTTTTTTTCCATTTTTCCTCACTGCATGGATAGTATAGCACATTTTTGAAGTCCAAAGTTCATTATGATGTTATTGCTGAACAGTTGAACTGTGTTGAGTATTGATTCAAGTTCAGTAGGGGTTTTTGTATACAGTTTTAAGTCATCCATGGATAGTTTATCTTGCCATGTTGTCTTGAGATTTGGTAGCCCAGTTTTGTGTTTCATAGGATTGTTGTCAGTGGAATTAATGCAATGTTGAACAGTAGTGGCGAAAGTGAGTCCTCTTGGAAGATTCCTCGTCTGATGTTGACATCATCATCATCATCATCATCATCATCATCATCATCATCATCATCATCATCGCAGATGATCCAGCAGTGGTGGAACTCACCTCCGGGGGGGATGAGTCTGCCTATTGAGATGGAGATAGACCGGTTACTTTTGTGCTGTGTAGACAATAATTTGGTCCTTAACACAAATAAGACCAAGGAGCTTATAGTGGACTACAGAAGGAATAGATCAGACCTTGATTATCAACGGAGATAAGTGGAGCAAGTGGCCAGTTTTAAGTTTCTGGGTGTTACCAAAAAAGAGGACCTGACCTGGGGTGCTCTACTGGTCAAAAAGGCCCAGCAGGGATTATACAACCTGAGACTTCTCAGAAAACAACAACTGAATGAAAAAATGCTGGGGACCTTCTACCGCTGCACTATAGAGAGTATTTTAACTTACTGCACCTGTGTATGGTTTGCTAATTGCACAGTGGCAGATATGACAGCACTCCAGAGGGTTAACATCATTGCCCAGAGGATCATTGGTTGCCCTCTCCCCACCTTGGAAGAGCTTTATAGCTCCCGCTGCCTTAAGTAAGTTCAAAACATTCTTAAAGATCCATCTCATCCTGGGCATCCTATTTTTGAACTACTACCATCTGGCAAGATGGTACAGGGCAATAAAAACAAGGACAAATAGGCTGAAAAATAGCTTCTATTCCAGAGCAGTAATTATATTGAATTCTACTGTACAGTGTAATATGAATGCAATATCAGGGATTTTCAATGCCCATAACTACTTTGATGCCTAGTTCTATTTCACGGTCCAAAGACCAAAGTGGTGGCAGAATGCCAGAGGGTCAGGGAGAGTGCTTGAAGTGAGGGTGCCAGAGCTGGAATACCACCATGTTTAAGTGCCAATAGACACCTCCAGTGCTTCTGGGTGAGGCCTTGGATAGAACAACTTTAAAAACTTACATAGTAATTAATCAATTAATAAGTTAATCAAGCAGATTACCATAGATTTACTATTGTTATTAGGTTACCCAAAGTTTAATGGACATAGCTTCTCCTAGGTTTTAAATAAAACCATAGAAATTATCTTCCATATTAATTTCAGAAACTGCCACTTTGCCATTTTAAAGATCTATTGGTAGTGGAAGAAATACTACTTCCTATTTCTCTTTTACCTTCCATTCTCTCCTTGTAATCCACAAGATATCAACACGGATCACTTTTGAAAGAATAACAATGATTGAAATGTGAACCTTTAATGAATTAAAAAAAACTTTTAAAAAGACACATGAAGCAAATCCTTTCCCTTTCCTTCCCTTCTCCCTTCCCCTTTCCCTTCTCCTATTCTCCAATTTGTTAAAGAAAGCAACACCTGTCTCTGGTTTATTTTCAAAATAATGAAAAGGTATTTTATCAGTTTATTAATCTAAAACATATTTTATTATATTTCATTGTTTATTTATTGGTATTTTGTACATTTTATACATCCTAAGCCCAAGGACTCTTACATAAATATTGCAGACATATTTTCTAAAGCTGTTTGTTCCAAATAAAATTCAACTTAAAATAAGCACATAATTCCATAAAACCATATATAATTAATAGTTTCTCACAACATATCTTTGACATGGAGGATTTGTATTTATTAGTTGTACAAATTAAAAACTTGTATACATACAGATTAAGCAACTCTTTGTAGTACAGTATTGCTTTACTCATTTGTTGTTAAATATAATATAAGTGGGTGGTTTTTGTAAAAAGCAGAGAATAACATGTATGTTTCCTTCTTATTAAGTTGAAAAGAACCTATGTTACATAAATAATACAATTAAAAACCCTCATTTTTTTCTGACTATCTCTGAACATCAAAAATAAATAAAAGCTAATTAAATTGTGCATGGGATGACAGATTGAAAAATAAATACAGTATTTCTCAGTTTGCACATGTTAATTGAATGAAATAAATATATGGCAAGCTGATAGCTTCAAACTGGTAATCATGAATAAAATGAGGCAACAAAAACAAGATTCTTTTTGTTTAATGCTAATATATTGTTGATTAAACCATTTCCTGTTTTATATTAAGGGCATTATTAGAGAAAAATCATATAAGATGAATTATTTATTATATTGTAAATAAAAGGGATCTGAATTGTTGGCCAGATTCTCTATTTCAGACACATCATTGTGAATCCTCAATGGTAGTAGAGTTTTGTTAGTAGTAGTATTTGCAAACATAAATGTTTGCCAGGAATAACTCACAATTTGTGCATAGTTGAGTCTTCGAAACTGAGCAAATTTGCTCTCAATATCTTGCCAGCGCTTGCTGAGCTGTATCTGGGTTGGTTCCACTGCTTTTGCAGCCCCATCCTTAGACAAGCGATCAGCTTGCCTCTGTACAATGTTCAGCTCTTCCTTCTTCTTCTCCAGTTCTCGATCAATTTCCTATTGAGCAAAACCAATACAGGGCCCAGGAAAATTAGCTAACTAGATCATTAGTTCCTAAGAATTAGCAAAATACTTTTGTAGAGGTATTGTTAAAAAAGAAGAAAAAGAATTTTATTTTAAAGCCTGGGTTAACATATAAACAAAAGAAATCCAGAAGTGCTCTGGATTATACACCTCATTGATTTTAGATATTTGAGTGAATATATGCTGGAAATGTGACACCATAGGCCAAAATATTAACTGTCTAATATTTATATATTTAGTCTAATATTTATATTTAGCACTGTGTGATAACTAACTGGAAAGATTACCATAATACTGGAATCACATACTAAATATCCATACTGATTGTCAACTAGATGGCTAAAGGTTTTTTTTTTAAATTACTATTGGAGAGAACATAACAAAGAATAAAGCAAAAGAAGACGATGAAAAATAAACAAGACAGTTTTTGACAACATATAAACAAATTTTTAGAATTTTGACCATGATTTATGAATATGTTCTGATGAAAATGAGTGTGTTGCTAATATGAAAAAGAGTTCAGCCATTTGTTCATCTGGAATAAAGATTAAAAAATCAATTATTTTTTTTCTTAGAAAGTACTGTATATACTCGAGTATAAGCCTAGTTTTTCAGCCCATTTTTTGTGCTGAAAAAATCTCCCTCGGCTTATACTCGAGTCAGATTCCCCTCTGAAAAAAAAATGGTGTGGAGTCGCGGCCTCCGGCGGCAGCGACTCCCAACAGCCCCAGCCGTGAAGGGAAAGGCAAAAAGCGTTTTGCCTTTCCCTTCCCGAGGCGGCGGGACTGGGGCCGCTCCGGCGGCAGCGACTCCCAACAGCCCCAGCCGGGAAGGGAAAGGCAAAAAGCGCTTTGCCTTTCCCTTCCCGAGGCGGCGGGACTGGGGCCGCGCCAGCGGTAGTGACTCCTGACTCAGGGGGCCTCCGAGGGAGGGGAAGAGAGTGACTCCTGCCTCCCGCTGTCATCATCATCTTCTTCTTTTGGGTTAGTGAATCAATTAAACCTTTCATGATAGTGAGATCGTTTCCCAAATTAATTATTTTTATTTTTGAAATTTACCAGTAGCTGCTGCATTTCCCACCCTCGGCTTATACTCGAGTCAATAAGTTTTCCCAGTTTTTTTGTGTAAAATTAGGTGCCTCGGCTTATATTCGGGTCGACTTATACTCGAGTATATACGGTATTTGAAGTTGGCACATTCAACATATATATTCATCTAGGTACAAAAAGTTCCAACAAACATCATCTCAGTTACTTAAATAGCATTAAGTGATGAGCTACTATTATTTATATTAATTACTCTTGCTAGGCAACAGAGAAACATATTTTATTTCCAAAAACAAATACAATACTAAATGATATTACCTTTAGCTTATGTTCATCTATGGGATCTGACAGGACTGACATTTTTTTTCCTATGTCATCCAGGAACTTCATTAAATCATCTGCCTGCTTCTTATATTGATACCACTGATGTGAAATCTCCAAAGCTTTTTTCCTTCTGTCTGATCTCATATCCTGTTTGCAATACATATGTTTGTTATGAAAAGTAATATTTAAATGATTTATAAATACTGTATGCAGTATGGAATGGAGAAAAATTGTGGATATGTTATTCTATGAATTATATGAATTATAATAATTTATGAATTATTATGAATTATAGTAATTATAATTTTGAATGCAAAGTTATACTTTTAAGTAAACCAAAATATTTTCTTACTTCACTATACTTATAATGTACAGAGAAATGTATTTTGGAACACACATTTCACACATATAAAAAACTAGAATTAGCAGCCTAAATTTTGAAACAGAAATATTAACAGGCAGATTGATGCAACAATGAATTTTCCAAATGCTAGCATTTTATGCAAGAAATACTTATATACATTTAACTGCAAAATGTTTTATTTTAAATTATAACCTGCTAATAGATGGAAGTCCAGAGTGAACTTTAATGTGCACATATTGCCTTCACTCAAAAATTTTAATTTTAGATATTCCAAAGTTTATTAAAAAGAAAGAAAAGAAAATTTATGTGAAGCAGAGATACTTTGCTTGTCCTTTAAATGCAACTCTAGGTTTTGATTGTCTTTTGAGTATAAAATACCGTGAAACAGAAGTTTAGTATGAAATTCATTTTCAAACCAAACGATTTATTTCCCAATTACAAGTTTAATTATTGACTATGGCTACTTCTATTTTCTATTTCAGAAAATTATATGCATGCTAATAATTCATTTAATGCACCAATTTAATATGATTAACATTTTTATTTTACTGCCTTTGACATATGTTAAAATATTTCCTAAAATTCAATTTTTAAAATTTGAAATTTACTTTACTTTGCTTTAATTTGATTTATTTCTTTTTGCCCAGAAATTTCTCTCTTCTACTCTTCCCTTCCTTCTCTTCCCTCTTGTCACTGATCAAAATGAATAAACTAAAATCTAAAAATGACTTACCAAATCATAATAATAATATCAGTAAGTAATTAAAAGTTATCCAAAATATAAATTAACTTATCAATGATTCCAAGAATATTATGCAGCATATATGTTATATATTATTGATCTTTATCTACAAGTTTTCTAAGAAATATATTTAAAGACATGAAAATAAAAATGAAAGGCAGAAATAAAAGGAAAATACCAATTTGCTGTCCTACTTATTGCCTTGTGTGTCCACTCTTAAGAAACATAATTAATTATAAAAGTTTAGGGTCTTCATAACTTCTGACTTATTACATATGCAACATTTAGAACTTCATTCAGAGCTGGAAAGGTTGTAAAATCTACCTTGAGAGCATTATGTCTGTTTTGCAACAAATGCTGTTTCTTTTTTATTTCTTCTCTTTTTTGTTCATCCTTGATCATTTGGTGAAGCATATCTCCACGTTGAAGCAATTCTTTTATAGTGCCCTCATGATTGTCACTCTAAGGGTAGAAAAATAGAGATGTTAGAAGTAGAGATGACAGAGGTAGAGATAGAGACGGATAAAAAATTAGACTATAGCTTTGGATTTACTGTATAAATTTCTGTAATGTGAAGATCTCCAAGGCTTTTAACATTCATAATACAAATTCCAGTGCTATTGCAAGATACATGGAAAGTTATAAAATATGTCTTAATTGTCTGAAAAGGTTTAAGGCATCCATACTGCCCCTCATGCAAACCTATTTTGGAGGTTGCTACTTTGAAAGGATAGCTCTGCAAAAGGTATGCTGGTAGGCTGAGCTTGGCTTTCAGGATACTGTTGTTTAAAATGAGGAATACTAGAAATAGAAAGTTTTATAATACCTGCATGATAAAGCTATAAATAGCAACTTATGCTGCACAAAATAGAATATATTCTGCCAGGAAAAGGAGTTCATAACATGTGTAAATTGTGTATTTTCTCCTCAGGCAATTAATATGCATACTCTTCTCCTGACTGGTGCTTTTACTAAATTAAAAACAACAACAGAGGAATTATGAAGGGGAATTTTATACTTGTACTCATCCGGCAAGCAGAGGTTGGTGGAGATTGGTGGAGCAAACTGTGTGTATAACCGTGTGTTAAATAATATATAAGAAAATAAACTCTATATGTATATTTGTAGACCTATATATCTTGACCTATATGTACACTTTGAATGGCTGAGATGCACATTGGTCTGCCATATTATGGATCCCTTGAAACATTTTTATTAACAACAAGCAATCCTGAGTAGCTACTACATGGGCAACAGTTGTAAGGATTTGAGATATACGTATATGTATATGTATATGTATGGGTAGGTGTGGGTGTGTTTTCTGAAATGTCAAATAGGATATTTCACTAATCCAGACCTCTTTTCTGATGATTATAAAGAACAATCAAGTGTTCTTGTTATTGTAACATTGAAATTATTGCTAAAATGTAATTGTGCCAATGTATGAATGTCACATATAGTTTTATAACATTTAAGAATGCTGACATTTATGAACTGTCTGGTGTTAAATGCAAATGCAGAAGTTCCTAATTTCTGCTTCAATATTTTTTCCTTTTCCATTCCTAGTTCATTCATACTTCTATCACAACCAATTTACCTTATCTTTATTGAAGTCTTCTTCTTTCAGATTCACCCCCTCCTGAATTTCAGCCTCCAATGGTTCAAGCAATTTTAGTATGTCAAAGTTAAACTGCTCCAATTCCTTCAAAGAAATGAAGGGCTTAAAGGTTGGAAAATAAGAACGGAGAAAAGGAATGGACATTTATTAGTTTTTCTTCACACTTTTTATTATGGATATATCTCATAAGCATATATGCATTGCTTCAACTGCTAAATTAATTATCTATACATTTATTTTACAAACTACTATGGTATGTATGTGTTGAATATGCATGATGCTACATTTATATGGATCACGTCATATGCAAAGTGGAGTCTGATGTCAGATTCCTCTTATTGGTTTCAGCCACTGGCGCAAATATTGGAGGCCCATCAGTGGCTGAATTGTTGGACAGCGCTGGCTATAAAAAGCCAGCGCTGGCCGTGTTTGATGCTTTTTTATTCCGGTTGTAAATAAAGAGTTTCTTGCTATCCTGGGTCTGCTCCTTCCTCATCCAGCCAATCCAACACTGGCAACGAAGGTGGGATTCTGAGGAAGACAAAGGACCTTGTGGGGCACCGTGGCCATTTTCCAGCTGATTCATGAACCCAATCATTCAGATCGACAGTGAACCGACATGGCCCACTGACCCCTATCAATCTCATTCAAACCAACCAAAGAGAAGTGGTCCTTATATATGGGAAGATTCAACCTGAATCTGGTGGTGAATGGGATGAAAGCAGAATCCGACAAGAAAAAGAAGGCTTACTTCTTGACCTATTGCGATTCAGAACTCTATGAACTAACCGAAGCCCACATTGCAGATGAACTGGATATTGTCTCTTGGGACAAACTGCAATGAGCATTGAAGGGGCATTTTGACCCTACTCCATTGTATTTGGCAAACCAGAACGACTTCTATATCTGGAGCCAAAAAGAAGGGGAAAGCATAAGCGACTTCATGGCTGCACTAAGGAAACTGTCAAAGAACTGCAAGTTCTCAAACGCCAAAGAAATGATTCAGGATTGGCTAGTCCACGGCTTTAAAGATTTAACCCTGCAAAAGAGACTGTTTGCAAGAGAGGACGTCTCGTTCAAGCAGGCTTTGGAAGAAGCAAAAGCTGCAGAAGCCTCCGACTCTTCTGCAGCCTGAGTCAAGGGCAACGGCAAGATCCACACCACCCAGACCACTAGGAGAACACCACATAGTCCATCCAGCTCTGAAAGCAGCAACAGTGAGAAGGAAGATGTCCATCACGTGAAAACCAGCAAACCCGAAACTGCCAAGAGAACCAAGCCATGCGGAAGCCGCAGAGGAAATCATCCTCGGTCCACCTGCCATTTTAAGGAGGCAATCTGCAGGCAATGCGAGAGGAAAGGCCACATCACAGAAGCCTACAGAGCCAGCCAACCAGCGGACACACCTGGTTGTGGGTGAGCTGCAGAACATTCTCCCCAAACAGACCATACAAAAGTCGGAAGACTTTTGTCACAAAATTTAAAAAACAAGATGGCGGCTTGGAAAAAGAAACCCACCATACAATCGGAGGCTACACACACGCTCGGTGGCACACACAGACACTATTGAAACCAACAAATTTCTCACCGAAGGAAGGATCGATGGAACCCTATGGTCGATGGAAGTGGACTCAGAATCTTATATATCAATGATATCCTGGACGGCCCTCCAGAAAATCAACCCTGACATCCGCCGAAGCCAGCTTCGGCCACAATGGATAATATTAAAGGACTACCAAGGCTATAAAATACCGGTCCTGAGAAAGAAAATCTGCCACGTGGAATACGGGGATTTCAAGGGATCCCTACCACTGACCATTGTGGACCGAGATCTGCCCAGCCTCCTAGGGAGAGAGTGGTTTGTGCCGCTGCAAATCAGCCTCACCGGCATCCACGCAACAGCGATAACCGGAGTAAGTGTTGGAGAGGATCTTGATGTTTTGGAAAAGGAATTCTGGGACATTTTCAGCAGCGAACTGGGCAAGTATAAGGGGACCCCGATAAACTTTAACATAGCCCCTGTCCAACTTAGGTCCCGGAGAGTCACGTGTTTGTTTGTTTTTTGAAAATTTTATTGATTTTTGAAAACAAACATAAACAAACAAAACATAAAAACATAAAAAATCTTTTTTGAAAGCAGAATAATCCCGGGTTACATCTCTTCATACAGACACAAATTCAAGTTCATGCTCATTTTTATATTCCATTCCATATCTTATTACTATTCTACAATTTCTATATAGCTTCTCCCCTCTTTTAACTTTCTTAATTTTATTTTATTTATTTCATCTCAATTCAAATCATTGTACTTATATTCTTTGTCTGTCCTGTTTCAACTGTTTACTATCTTTTCTCATTGAACAAAATTTCTCCTGTAATCACTGATTGGAGTATGACGCCTTTATATCTTTCCCCTAAAATTATAAAATTTAATATAATACATAACTTCCGTTCGGATTCTGCTTGGTACATTCTGAAACTACACACTGTATTTTAAAAAAAGAAAAAATTATAAATGTATAATATAATTAAAACAACAATCCATACCAATTCAATTCTATCATTAATATTAATATTCATTTAAATCTTAACGTTTTACACATTACTTTTCAGATAAGTATCATACTTCTATGGGAACACTTATAAACTTTCCATAGTTAATTCCCCCCCACTTCACTTATATTTTATAAAACATTGAGTAATTAAAATGTTCCCGTTCCTTCCTAATTCAATTCTCTCATTTATTTTATTTCATTTATTTTGTTCGCAAAAGTTTCACTAAATTACACTGACTATTTTATCCCACTTTTTAATCATACGTTGTTTCAAATTTTCTAACATTATTTCTATTACAAATATAACAATACAACCTTATGTACCTTCACAGAATCCCTTTTTCAGTTAAATTTTCACCCATTATCTCTGAATAAGTCCTGTTTCTTTATATCTTGCTCCAAACCTTTGTAACTTCTTTTCCTTTCCTTCTTCCCTTTCTTCTTCTCTCTCCCCTTTTTACCCCCCTGTCTCTCCACCTCCATTTCCCTCTTCTGTATTCCCCTTTTCTGTTGCTTTCCAACTTTATATCCACTTTTCAAATTATTTTTCCCTTTTTTGGCTGTTTTTTTAAGTCTTAAATTCTCCATTCTCTTTCCCCCCTTTCCCCTTTCTTCCCCAGATAGAGTTACTTGTTCATTAAAGATGGCTTCTTCTTTGTCCCACTCTTCTAGTAGTGCAGTCTTTTCTTGTTGTTTCTCGTAGATGCAGATCGCTGTTTCTAAGAATTGAAAAACGGAGCCAAAGAAGCCCTTCCCTTCTTGTGTCTCTTCTTTATATTTTTTAAATTCCATTTTCAGTTCATCCATAAGTGATGCCATTGTAGAATTTTTTTAAACAGCCACCCAATTGTTTTTAGTCATTCAAATATAATATCCAAAAATCCCCAAATCCCCAAGCAATCCAAATACACACAAGCTGTTTCTTTTTACACTTTCTTCTTTCTTCACTTTCTCTTCCTGGGGTTACTATTTAATTCCAAAGTTCCAGTTAAAATGTATCTTTTAGAAGTCTTATTGAGATTTTACTTTAGGTTCTTTTGAAGTCCAGGCAGTCTCCTCCTTCCAAATCCTGTCCTTATTCTTTTCCTCTCCCTTCCTCCTTATAGAAAAAAAGGATTTTTTAGTGTCCATAAATCTTTATTGTCCCTTTGGCATTTAATTATATTTTCAGCTTAATTATCTATTAGTGCCAAAGCGGATTTTTCCGATTTCTTATTCAGCTCTCTTCATTGTCAATGTGAGGAAGGAGAGTGAAGAAAAAAAACCTTTCCCTTTCCACTTTCATTCGCTGCTTCCGACTCTTCTTTGGGAGCGATGTTATCTTTTATAAAATTTAAATTCCAGGGTACCTTAGTTGTTGCTTTTTATCCCAGTCAGCCAAAACTTTCACTTCTTATCTTCCTCCTGCACTTTCTTTTCTGGTTGAGTGCTTCTTTGAGGTGGCCATTTCTGACTGCCACTCCTACCGCCTTTGGGAAAGGGAGTTTGGCCAGCTGAGGAGGAGAGATGCGGCTCCCCTCGACCCTGCTGGCGATCTCCCCCCTCTTCACCACCTCTATGGGGTGGCTTAGCCCCAAAGCCAGCTGGCTCGGGGCGCTCCAGCGGCGAGCCCAGGCAGAAGCCGTGCACGATCGCGGATTCCTGCCTGCCGCCGAAGCCCTGCAAACCGGAAGTCCCTAGAGAGTCACTTTTGTTCTGCAACCCAAGGTTGAAGAGGAATTAAACAAACTGGTAACTCAAGCAATCCTTGAGCCGGTACACCAAGCAAAGTGGGAGACTCCTATAGTGACCCCTGTAAAGCTCGATGGGTCAGTCCAAATCTGTGGAGACTACAAGAGTACTCTGAACCTTGTGCTTCAACAGAGCGCATATTCGGTACCCATAGTCCAGCACCTACTACATTCGTTGGGCCAGGGCAAGATTTTTGCTAAGTTGGATCTAGCACAGGCATATCAACAATTGCCTGTGGACGCAGCCATCACTGAAGCCCAAACAATCATAACCCATAAGGGCACATTCAAGTGCAACTGGCTGCAGTTTGGAGTTAGCATAGCCCCCGGCCTTTTCCAAAGCATAATGGAAAGGCTGCTACAAGATTGCCGGGAGTAGTCCCTTACTTCGACAATGTAATTATCTTGACTGAAGACAAGCCCCAACTAATGGACAGAGTCCAGAAAGTATTAGAAAGATTCCAAGAAGCGGGACTCAAGTTAAAAAGGGACAAATGTCACATTGCGGTACTGAGTGTAGAGTTTTGGGGCTTCCAAATCTGACCCACAAATGGCAAACTGAAAGCAATTAAGGAAGCCCCCATCCCACAGAATAAAGGGGAACTCCAAGCATTCTTGGGATTGCTAAACTTTTATAATATGTTCTTACCACAGAAGGTGACCTTAGCGGAGCCACTACATAGATTGTTGGATAAGAATACAACTTGGAAGTGGGGACCCCCCCCAAAGACACAGCGCTGGCAGAAATAAAAAACATTTTAACCTCTGACTTAGTCTTGATGCAATATAGCGAGACCCTGCCACTATGGTTAACCTGCAACGTGTCTCCATACAGATTCAGGGCAGTTCTGAGCCATAAACTACCAAATGGAAAGGAAGCCCCCATAGCTTATTCTAAAACTTTGTCAAAAGCAGAGAGGAACTATGGCCAAATAGACAAAGAAGCCCTCGCCGCCGTAGCTGGGGTGAAATGCTTTCACAAATACCTATACGGCAGACACTTCGAGTTGGTCACTGACCACAAGCCACTGCTCGGCATTCTCTCAGGAGACAAACCCACACCCACCATCTTATCGCTGAGAATGCTAAGATGGACAGTTTTCCTGGCAGCATATAACTATAGCCTTCTACACAGACCAAGAAAGAACATTCTGCATGCTGATGCACTAAGCAGGTACCCCCTGCCAGATCTAGTGAAAGACCCTGCCCCCGCGACTACTGTATTCCTTGTGGAACATTTCGAACCGGGTTTAGTAATGGCAACGGAGATCACAAGACTCACCGCAAAGGACAAAACGTTGGCGTGAGTTTTGAACTGGGTATGGCAGGGGTGGCCGAACAAGACGGAAGGGGAGGAATTTAAATCGTTCAAAGACAGACAACTGGAGCTGTCAGCATTAAGGGGGTGTTTGTTATGGGGAGATAGAGTGATGGTACCGAAACCATTAAGGGAAAGAATTTTGGGATTACTACATGAAGGGCAGCCCGGGATAGTAAAAATGAAGGCTTTAGGAGTTACATCTGGTGGCCGGGAATAGACAAAGACATTGAAACCTGGGTCGACACATGCTCACCATGTCAGGAATACCAACCGGCCGCTCCTGCAGCACCCCCCCTCAAGTGGGAAAAGCCCTGAGCACCATGGGGTCACATACACATAGACTTTGCAGGACCCTGCCAGGGACAAACGTTCCTAATCGTGGTTGACACCTTCTCTAAATGGTTGGAGGGGTCATCATGAAATCCACAACAACCAAGGCAACGATCAGAGTCCTGCGGAAAATATTCACCACCCACGGGCTACCTGATGTGCTGGTTTTAGACAATGGCCCACAATTCACAGCACAACAATTTGAATGCTTCCTCGCCCATCTGGGGATCCGACATGCCCTATCGGCGCCAGATCATCTGGTGGCGAATGGGCAAGCAGAGAGAATGGTCTGAACGACCAAAAAACTTCTCACAAAATTAGGCCCCGGCGATTGGCAGGAAAAAATCGACAAATTGTTGCTAACCCAACACATAATGCCAAGTGCAGCAACAAACAGAAGCCCAGCAGAAATGCTCATGAACAGAAAATTAAGGTCTACCCTGGACAGAATCCATCCAAACTATACAAACGACACCCCTCTAGACTCCACAGGGAAGAGTGGAACATTCACACCAGGAGACACAGTGTATGCACGCAACTGCACAGGAGGGGAAGCCTGGGTCCTGGCAAAAATAGTCAAAAGTACTGGATCCAGGTCATACAGACTGGAGGTAGAAGGGGGAAAAACATGGAACAGCCACATAGACCGGGGCCACATAGTTCAACCCCCACACAAAGCCGAACAATGCAACACACATCCAACAACAATAAAACCCTGGGAATTAGAAACCCCACGGAAAAACACATTAGCAAGAACAACCCCAAACAGGACAGAGGAGGACTTAGCTGTGGGAGGAGGAGTCCAGCGTAGTACTTCTGAGGCCTCTAGCTCAACAGAAACTGCCACGCCTCCGGAAACATTTGAGGCATTTCCAAAGGCGGAGTCTGGAGCAGCGGCAGATTTATCCGTTCAGGCTGCTGCCTCAGGAATAACTGAACGGTGCAGGCCCAGTCGCACCCACAGAAGCCCCACCTACCTGAAGGACTACGTCTGCGCGTATGCGGTTATTGGTCAGACTGAACTAAGAGGGGAGGGGTGTTAAATATGTATGACACTACATTTACATGGATCACATCATATGCAAAGTGGAGTCTGATGTCAGACTCCACTTATTGGTTTCAGACTCCACTTATTGGTTTCAGCCACTGGCGCGAATATTGGAGCCCTGTCAGTGGCTGAAGTGTTGGACAGCACTGGCTATAAAAATCTGGTGCTGGCCACGTTTGTTGCTTTTTGATTCCGGTTGTAAATAAAAGAATTCCTTGCTATGAGGAAGGTCTGCTCCTTCCTTATCCACCCAATTCAACAGTATGTAGTAATACCAGTAGAATCTCATCTGATCAGCATATACTTATAAACTTCACTTATTTTATGTTACCAAACCAAATCAGTCCAGACAATTAATCAATTTGCACAACATGTTAATAATGGGAATTTATTTGATAATTGCACAACATGTTAATAATGGGAACTTATTTGATAATTTATCAATCTCTACACAAATATGTTAAGTTTTATGTGTGTGTGTGTGCTTGTATGTGTGCAGTGAAATAATAAAAACCCTCAAAAATAGTTATCTCCATTAAATAACAGACAAGTAAAAATATATTTTCTTAGGGAGAGCCTGAAGCCCCCTCAAAGTCCATCCTGGGTGGCTGATTGGGGGGGGGCTACCCGATATGGCTTTTATGCTGTAATGGTGGGTTGGAGGGAATCAAAATCTCCCATGGACCAACAGGCCTGGTGAGTGAAAGCTGGCTCATCAATATTGACTGAAGATGAAGACTACATTGGTTAGAATGGCTTTAGTAAAATAGCACGTGGTGTGGTGGCAACAGAAAGCAAAGGGAAGACTACTGCACCATATATTTCCTAGGAAAATCATGTTAATGGCAGCAAAACCTAACAATGGCCCCAAATATGGGTGCTCCTTAAATGGGGCAGGGGTGCTAAGAATCTTCTGGTCCACTAGAAGCATGATAAACCCAAAACTATGAATTGGAACATGGAATCTGAGAAGCCTATATGAATCTGGGAAAACACACAACACTACCTGCCCCAGGCCAACCAGACCACAATCTGCAATGTGACGGTGGCCATGCAGGCCATACACGGCCAGCTTTAAATCCACGGAGCCGGTCTCAAGCTGGCAGAAGGCTGCCACAGCTCTGCCCCCTTGCTCACGCTGAAGAGGTGGTGAGCATGTGGGCGTCCACAGGGTTTAGTGTCAGAGTACATTCATGAACTGGAATAGAGCATGGTAACAAGGTCAGCCAATGAATAGGCATAGCAACTAAGTCAGCCAATAAGGACTGTTTGGAAACTGAAACTAGAAGTAGCCTAGGCGTGGCTCTATATTAAGCTCTGCAGCTCTGAAGCTATGTTAACCTCTGAGTCTGTCTATTGAAAATGAAACTGCTTCTCTCCTCTGCTGTGTGTCTTGCTTGCCTGCTGAACTAAAGTGAAACTGTTGTGTTTCTGAGCTCCTGAGTTGCTGTTCTGCTCTGAACCTGTAACATATCTGCTTCTGTTTGAGTTTGCTCCATGTTGGAGAAATCTACAATTGGTATTGTAAAATTTGCTTTAGTTGTTTATAAAGAAGTTAAATGAAGCCTCTGTAATCTGTGCTTATTTTTCTGGCGCTGAATTTACGCTGCAATACTCTGAACATTTAGGCTAAGTTCTGAATCCTTCTCTTTCATCCAGGATGCTGGGGCTCATGCACTCACTGCCTCCTGGGCAGCCCTGCCCCCTTGCTCATGCCCTAGGGGGCAGGGGCAAGGCGGCAAGGCAATCTCTTACTGGCTCCACGGCAGCTGTGCATGTCAGATCTAAGGTCTCAGCACAGGAACTAATGCTGTCCGTAGCCTAAATGGGCTGCTCACTTGCACATGCTGGCCTTACCGTTTGAGGGCAGGAACAAAGTCTTCAACTGAGCAAAGCCCTCACACTCACATCCAGCCCACCAGAGCTTGCCATGCCAGGGGAAGAATGAGAGATGTTGTCCCGCGGAGCCTACTGCTGCTTGAGCAGGGGGGAGGAGGAGAATAAGAGCAGTGAGGGCTTGTGCCAGCTGGCCAGCCAGGCAGGGAGTAATTCGGGTGTCCGGCTGCCCAAGTAAAGAACTGCACCAGCTCAGGGCAACTGTGAGGAGCAAGAGGGGAGAGGCAGAGAAGGAGGCAGAGAAGGAGGAGAGTACCTGGCCAGTTGGGGGAGGCTTCTTGTGCTGCGAAAGAGGCGGCTAATGATCTCCGGCTCCACTCTGCTTCTCCAACATCCGGCGCTGCCCTGTTCTGTGCGCCGGCTGCTCGGACTTGCTGGGCCTGACACAGAACAGGGTGGCGCCGGATGTTGGAGAAGCAGAGCGGAGCCGGAGATCATTAGCCGCCTCTTTTGCAGCACAAGAAGAACAGGGTGGTGCCGGACCATTGGAGAAGCGGAGCAAAGCCGGAGATTAGTAGCTGCCTCTTTCGGCGCAGAAAGCTTCCCCCAACCAGCCGGCTGGTCTCCTCCTTCTCTGCCTGTTTGTTCTGCATGGCCGAGGAGGAGGAGACCAGCTGAGAAGCACGCTGCCAGGCGGGGGCCACGCAGTGCAGGGCAATACGCCACCGCCCAGCCCTGGCTTGGGAAAGCAGTGGGCGTTCCCCAGGCGGTGGCCTTGGCCCCGCTAGCAGGGAAGCAGCTGCCCAGCTCCGTGTTGTGTGTGCAATTTTTTGGCGCGCGGCGCAGGGTCTCTTTTGGCCGGCCCCAATTTTTTTTTCAGAGGGGAATATTTTTTTTTCAGAGGCGGGCCGTATTAAAATGACCAACGGGCCGGATGTGTCCCGCGGGCCGTAGTTTGCCCACCCCTGCATTAAAGCCTTCTGAATGATAGCATAATTCCCTTATTCTAAAGATGCACAACCTTTTCTAACTAAGTTAATCTTTAAATATATAGCAAAAGATGTAACTAAGGAGGTGAACTGTACCTGGAATAGAAGTAGAAGCACCATAAATATTACACATAAGCACACATATTTAGACAAAACTCTCAGAGATGCAGCTCACTCTTATCCTTGCTAATTTTTATTTGGAAAATTGCTTTCTAGAATTATGAACTTAAAATGTTCCATTTTCAAGAATATAATTATCTTTGCATCGGTATTTCTTTTACCTTTTCATGTTTAATTCTTTCTGATACTGTTGTAAACCGTTGGTTGAGCTCTGTCAGTTTAGGTTCTATTACTTTCCTGCAGTGACCTCCACGATTTGTCATCAAGTCAATGGCTTGGTCAAGAACAGAGTCTACCTTTGGACGCATATCATTTAGCTCAGCCTTTAAGCACTACAAAACATGAATAAAACACAGAGCTTTACATTAAATATAAAAACAGAAAAAAAAACCTGTGATAGCTACAAACAACTGTGCCATATTTCTTGTAAACAGATTTATGCATGAACCAATTAAAGCATTATGGAGAATCTCCCCTTAAAAATTAATTTAAACAGGAGAATTATTTGTAGCTATGAAGCAACATGCTTTCCAAAGCTTTCAATATAAAGATACAAAAGCTATAACAAGTGTTTTACTTTCTGCATCAACTCAGAAACTTGTACCAAGTAAGCCAATGATTTATGTTAAAATCTGTTACCAATTTATGCTAAACATGGTGGATTTAGAATAGATTTCTAGGTCAGTTATGAATAAAAGGAACCAAGATGAACTACTTATAGTAAAACCATATAAATCTATGCCCGAATAAACCCTATTAATGTATAGTATTATAAAATGAAGAGCTGTTATTAAATAAAAGGCTGACAACATAATTATATTACATATTTATAGTTCTTTAACTTCAAGAATTGCCTGCTGATAAATATTCTCTTCTAAGATCAGGGGTGTCAAACTGGATTTCTTCAAGGGCTGGATCAGCATTGTAGTTCTCCTCTGCGGGCCAGTGGGAGGGGCAGGGATCGAGGGGGGGGGGCAATGAGATGGATGGCCTTCTGCAGCACTGTGCCAGCCAAAGGGGGGGGGGGGGGGGGGGCACACACACCATGCCTCATTTTCAGGCTCACTGGCCTTCAGCAGCACACTGCCAGCCAAAAATAGGCCATGGGGGGGCCTCATAAGGCCTTCGTGCAGCCCAGTTTTGGCTGGCAGAGTGCTGCTGGAGGCCAGGGAGGCCAAAAATGTGCCCCAGGGGGGCCTCATGAGGCTTCTGCGTGGCCCATTTTGGCTATCAGAGGCACCATGGGCCAGTCATTTGATATTTCCAGGCCAGCCCCATGGGCCAGATTCAGCCCATGGGCCTTGAGTTTGACACCCCTGTTTTAGAGGACTTTCAAAAATATATGATGATGATTTTAGGGATATTTCCATTCTCCATGAAATAAGTTTAAATAAACTGATAATTTATTTGCTAAATTGTTAATGATTTGTACAGTATTATAATTTTGGATTTAGGAAAAACAGTTTACACTTCTTGAGATAGTTGGACATTTCCAGAATATTTGATTATGTCCACAGTTTATAGTGGCAATAATGTCAAGAGTTTTTAAAATTCTCCAGTCCTGTATATTAGAAATAGCATGGCTGCAATTACTAATACTACTATTATGGAAACATAGAAATTACTTGGAGCAAAAATCAAAGATGTGGTTGAGAACCTAATCAAAATAATAAAACCCACAGATTACTATCCTTTTCTACTACTACAAATAGGGACAAATGACATGAAAATGGACCTGAAAACAATATTGAATGATTACGACTAGCTAGACAACAAAGTTAAGGAGTTAGGTGCCCAAGTAGTTTTTCATCTGTACTGCCAATGAAAGATCAACATCCAGTAAGAAAACAAAGGATTATAGAAGTGAACCACTGGCTAAAGTGTTAGTGTTGCCAATAGAACTTTGGATTCCTGTACCATGTTCTACACTACCTCCACGAAGGGCTTTTGTCAAGGGATGGTCTGCACCTCACAAAAACTGGGAAGAATGTTTTTGGAAAACAACTGGCTCAACCTTAGAAGGGCTTTGAACTAAAATTGGGGTGTGTATGTGACCAATCTTTAAGATCTCCAGGACCTAATTTCAAGCAAAAACTCCTTGAAAACAAGTCAAATAAGGAGGGGTGGGAAGGAAGACAAACTCAAACACCTAATAGGAGACATAGGAAGCAACCCAAGTCAGACATAAAGACCTCAAATGCCTATATGCAAATGTAGAAAGTTTGGAGAACAAACAAGATGAACTTGAATTATTAATACATGAATATGTATATGATATATATATGATATGATATAGTTGGAATTACAGAAACTTGGTTGGATGAAACACATGACTGGAACATACTCATAGAAGGATACAAACTGTTCCAAAAAAACAGACCCCATAAAAGAGGAGGTGAAGTTGCACTATATGTAAAAGACTACTATATTGCTACTTAACAGTACCGTATTTGCCGGCGTATAAGACGACCCGGCGTATAAGACGACCCCCCACCACCACCAGAAACGCCCTCCAGAAATCCCCGGGGCTGCAGCGGCAGGGCGGAGTGCCAGGGGCCGTGGGAAGAGCAGGAAGGCTGCAGCCTCGGGCAGAGCGAGGTGAGCGGGATGAAGCGGAAGCGACGCAGGGGATCCGGGAAGCCAGAGGCGCCTTCGCTGCGTCCAACAAGCATCCGAAAGCCGGCAGTGGATATACCGGCGTATAAGACGACCCCCCCACTTGGAGGCATGTTTTTCGGGGCAAAAAAGTCGTCTTATACGCCGGCAAATACGGTACATATTTGCTCACCAGATCTCATGTTCTGAAATGGTCTTTGCTTTCCAAGACTTTTAAAAGGTATGATAAAATATTATTTTGAAGAGAAAAATAATGTACTCTAAGTTCAAAAGTTTACTTGAAAACCCACAGGGCAAATCTGGGATACAATTATGATCAAGTGCAAAGTATCAACTAGCCTTTTTAAAAAGTAATTTTCAGAGGTTTGCATTTGTTACCTTAAGAATGTTGTTTCTCTGCTGGGGGCTTTGGGTTTCAGATTCATCTAAGAGTATTTCTGTTTGATACATCCATGTGGTGATATTAACAACATTCTGATCAAATGTTTCCATATGTTTTTGATATGCCTAGAAGTAGATAAAGAGAAATCAGCACGTTACTAAACAGTTCAGATCAAAGGGAAAAATGCATTACTACATAAATTATTACATTGTCCAAACACAAATGTCAACTCATAAAACATTTTTATGCCCATTTTATAGTTGCCAACAGAGAGACAGCGGGAAGGAGTTTGAAAGAGCATTGCAGCAGCTTGGAATCGAAAGTGCATTCCATTCATATCTTTGCAAAGATTATAACTAAGTGACTGGAGTTTCTGCCATGCAAATCACTAATTGGAGAACATGATAGATGACTCTTGGCTATGGACATGTTTCGTTGGAGAATATGCATTATGATACACCCAGAGTGATGGGAGGAAAGCCAGGATCAAGGGTGACAGTGAATTACATGTCTCAGAATCGGCTACACACAGGTCATACCAACATGTTAACTCCTAATAAATCCTCTGGAGTTTTTGAAGCTTGGCTCAAAGCTCATGATTTAATAAGGACCACTGCCAGAATTCTGACAGCTAGCCGATTCTCTTAATTAACATTACCGGGGTACCTGGGTCCCAGCCTCTTCCATCACTCCCCGACATCTAGAGTGCATGGAGAGAAAGTCAGTCATGGCAGAGGGAAGACTATCAGAAGAGAGCTTCCTCCAGGCGACCCAAGCAGAAACTCCAGCCAAAAGCAAACAGAAACCAATAGCATAATTACAGAAGGAGGACAGCCTCCCTTGAATTCCGAAGAGGAGAAACCTGCTCCATTGGAGGGGAGAAAACCAGATAAGACCCTGATAGAATCCCTGGGGAGATCCATACAGCAGCTGAAGGAGGAATTTGAACAGGCCACCATTCGAGATGACAGCCCATCCTGCTGCCCAAAACAGGGGAACTTTTACAGAGCCCTTTGAAGTGAGGAGAAGCAGGGAAGACCACAGCCCTCCCTGTCTACCCACTAGAAGAAAAAAAGAGCCTGTAGTGGCAGACAGTGCCTCCCTCACATAGCAAGCAGCCCCCTCCTCCTGTGCAAACTAGAGCTGGTGAGGCAGATCAGCCACCTCAAGGCTTACAGAGGGCGATGGGGAGAGGGAGGAGCAGAGCTCAACGAACCGCCCCGGTCCAGGGGGAAATTTGATAGAGACCCAGACCTTTATTCCTTGACTCAGCTTTATTCCTTGACTCAGTTGAGATCCACCTGGAACCCTCCCCTAAAACCATGGTGAATGCCATGTCTGAGGGGCTAGAGGGAGAAGCAAGAGAATGGTTAGCAACCCTCCACAAGAGAAGCCCCCCTCAACTACATGACATAGATGGCTTCCTACTAGAAGGCCAGATTTGAAGTGGCACAGGAGACACCTCCAATGGAATCAAGTGGAAGGGCCTTATCAAAGGCATCTTGGGTAAAGAGTAGAAACGTCCAAGGCGATCACCTTGTAGCAAGGTTCCATGCAGAAAATCCAACCAAGCCTGGGGGGAGGGGGAGGGGTTTGCAACTCTAAGTTCTATACGTGCACTCAATTTGTTTTTTTGTGTGTTGTACATGTCACCTTCAAGAAATGAGGAGAGCCGAATGTCAACTCATAAAACATTTTTATGCCAATTTTATAGTTGCCAACAGAAAGTGGGGGAGGAGTTTGAAAGAGCAGTGCAGCAGTTTGGAATCAAAAGTGCATTCCATTCATATCTTACAAAGATTATAACTAATTATAACTATTATAACTTCTGCCACGCAAATCTCTAATTGGAGAACATGATAGATGACTCTTGGCTATGGACATCTTTCATTGGAGAATATGAATTTATGATACACCCAGAGGGGTGGGGGAAAACCAGGGTCAAGGGTGACAGTGAATTGGGTGTCTCAGAATCGGCTATACACAGGTCATACTGACATGTTAACTCCTAATAAATCCTCTGGAGTTTTTGAAGCTTGGCTCAAAGCTCATGATTTAATTAGGGCCACTGCCAGAATCCTGATAACAAAAACTATAAAACTAGTTCTATGAAACTACTTTACAACCGCAAAAAATAAGATCTAAATACTGGTAAAATCAGGAAAAAAAATTAAAACTTACAACAGGGTCTAATTTTTTACAACAGGGGTGTCAAACCCAAGGCCCTTGGGTGCTTAAATGCAGCCCAAAGCAGGTTGAAAAATGGCTGAAAATGGGCCGAAAAACCAGGCCAAAACCAGGCCCAAAACGGGCCAAAAAATGGGCCAAAAACAAACCACATGGCCCATTTTTGGCCAGCAGAGTGCTTCAGGAGGCCATGGAGGGCAAAAATGAGTTGCACGGGGGCCGTGTGTGGTGCCCCCATGCCCCATTTTGCCAGCATGATGCAGCAGGAGGCATCCATCCCACCTCCCCACTTCCCCCTCGTGCTCACCTCATGCCCCCCTTCGTGCCCCCCTCGTGCCCACAGAGGAGAACTACAATGCTGATCCAGCCCTCAAAGAAGTCCAGTTTGACACCCCTGATCTATTGTAATGATGTAGACATTGAGATACAAAGTGACCTAATAGCCACAAATCAATAGCCACTTTTATAAATTATATATTTGGTGGTATGCTACCAGTTCGGCCCGGTTCAGGTGAACCAGTAGTAAAAAAAAAACCTACCAGTTCTGCTGAACCGGTATTTTTTTTCCTCCCAATGATCAGCTGTTCCGATGATCAGCTGTGCCGGGATCCCCCTCTCTGTCTTACTGCTTCGCCCAGGAGGCTTCCCTGAGGCCCAGGAAGCAGAGGGGTGCTGCATAAAAAAAGCCACGCCCACCCAGTCACATGGTCATGCCCACCTACCCACTCCCACCTAGCCATGCCCACAGAACTGGTAGTAAAATATTTGCACATAATTTCTAATATTATTTTTCTGAAATTAATAAAGAAAAAATGTGCAGCAATTTTTAGAATATAGAGGTTGTTTTTTTAAAAAAATTATCTCTGAGTTACAAACATAAAACTGATATCTTTCACTGTGATTTTAAAGACAAGTCATAAAATAACATCACAAAGACTTAAATCACTTGGGAACTCTGTCTAAAAAACTAAAAAAGTGATGTTCTATCTCTGTGATCATGAAAGTGGAAAAGTGCTAATTGGTAACTCTTACCAGCAGCAAATTAAACCATTCCTCAGCTCGTGAAGTTACTGCAATCCAGTTACTACTGAGAAGGCTGAGTTTATCATTCACCAATCTTTCTTTCCCTTTAAGCACCATCTTCAATCCCTCTCCCAAGTCAGTGATAATCTTCAGCTGATGCTGTCGTTTTTCAGTCTCTAATTGTGTTCCCTGTGGAAAACACACATGGAATGAATAACAGTAAATGTGAAGACTGAAATGACTGAAATTTGAATTATCCATAACAGTATTGCCATTCATATATTGGGATACTTTTGTGTATTAAAATAAATTGAAAGAGAAATAAATCTGCATTAATACTGAATGTAGTACCCTAAAGCAGGGGTCCCCAACCGCCGGGCCGCGGACCGGTACCGGGCCGCGGAACAAGCCTTACCGGGCCGCTGGTTGCTGGGCGCCGCCATTTTTTTTGACGAAAAATCACTTCCGGTGACGTCACCGGAAGTGATTTTTCGTCAAAAAAAGATGGCGGCGCCCAGCTGACGCCGGAACCGGGCCGCGGCGCCCAGCTGACGCCGGAACCGGGCCGCGGCGTCGAAAAGGTTGGGGATCCCTGCCCTAAAGCACTACATCTAATCAAGCAGCTGATAATTGATAAATATGTTAATAATTTGTTGATCATGCCTTCACAAAATGGCTGTTGTACAGGAACAGCCTTTTTCCTCTCTTGCCAAAGATCTGCTGTTTTTGCTGACAAAGCTGCTTGTCTGGCAATGCTGCTGCCTGGACCTGAATGGGAGCAGTTAGGAATGACCCAAGATTATTTTTGGATAAACTCTCTTCTTGGGATCTAGCACCCTTTTCCTGCTTTCAGGGGTCGCCAACCTTTTGGACCTCAGGGACCACCAAACTCATAATTTTAGATCCCAGAGACCACTAACTGGTTCTGTGGGTATGGCCTAATTTGTGGGTGTGGCGTGGTGGTCATGTGACTGGCTGGGCATGGCTTGTATGTAAATATTATAAATATTTATATAAATATTGAATTTTTTATTAAAAAAGAGCAACTTTTTCCCAAAATCAGGCAAAGCAGGCAGATTGAGTTGCTCATAGAATCACAGATTCATTCAGAGATCTATCTGCCATTGGCTAGCTCAGTCTCATAAAATTTGCTTGCAAGCAAACTCATAAAATTGTGTTTCTGCGCAGCCTTGTGTTTCTGCGCAGCCTGGATTAATTGCTTTGTGGGGGTGCTCTGGGGGTGAGATTTCTCTGCGGCCCACCAAAATTTTCTCATGGCCCACCAGTGGGCCGCGGCCCACCGGTTGGTGACCGCTGGTCCATAGCATGCCCCCTGTAGCAACCTGACCACAATCCCTATAGGTTTGCCCACAGCCTTCACATTTCCAATGTATTTTACTGCACCCACTTGCACAATCTCCATGTTACCAACACACCCACTTATGCACCTTGTTTTGGACCTCTGCTTTTTGTCACTTAACAACCCACACCATCCTGCGGCTACAACAATAACTGGGACTGCCAGATTACCATTAATAGGTAATCATTGACTTGACCACTGCATTTGCAGTTCCTATCCCAATAGGACTATCTGTTATGGGGAAAACTGCATATTGCAGCTGTATTTATACAGGAAAGCTTTTAAAAGATGAAAATGTATGATTTAAAACAAATAAAATCCAAATGTTGTATCATAGCCTTAATTTAAAATAAACAAAAATGAAAATAAGGACATAATTGAATAACAGTTTCAAAAAGTATGCTCAATTATTTTTCCTATGAAATTCTTTTGTTTGCCTAGAGCAGTACTTCACTAAATAATATGACACCTGAAACCTATCACGATATACAGTTTAAAGTTTTGTGTTCTTTTTTTGTTTGTTTGCTTCAATACACCACATGAAATGTTAAAATCTTGTGATAGTAGAAGACAAAAGCCTAAGTATTTATCCATCAAATAATATGCAGTTTATAATGCTGAAGGAAAAAGGTTTTGAGAAAGGATGATGATTGCAGGGGAAAAAATATGTGAGTTTAAAGGTAAGACAAAAATGTTTACCTTGCTCCAGGCAAGTTCAGCATCTAAATTGATAGGCACTCCTTCTACTGCTGATCTCTTTGTCAGTTCTGAATCTATCATTGCCAGCCATTCTGTCAGAGCATTCATTTCCTTTCTGAGTTTCCGAGATAATTTCAAACATTTCTCTAGTTCTTGCTTTTTCTCTGTTACCTGTGTTAAAAAGGAGGAAAATTTAAAAATCCAATCCACAAATGCCTACCACCCAAACTGCTACTATTACTCAAATCTACATGCTTGGTTATAATTTTCCCCCCATTTCCATTTAACCACCAACTAGCTACAATTGTTTGAGAACTGTGCCTCTTAATATATTTGTTTTGTTAATTAAGAACTCTATATTTTATTTTTTGGGATCTGTATAGTACATAAAACATAGAGGGACACATTCTTTCTCTCTCTCTAGTGTTACTATTTTACTATTATCATTAGTAAAATTATTTATTGTTTGCTGCTGTCAATATATGAACAATTTCTTGCCTATGGTTTAGTCTGCCTGTTCAGTATAATGATGTACAAGTGTATTTTTATTATTTGAAATGCAATTTATATAAAAGTGTTGTGGCTCTGAGGTTTGAGCCTGCATTGTTAGAGGACGAAGACTCGGACAATGGGGAAGAGGAGGATTTGGAAATGCCTTCCTCCCCAGGACCTTCCTATTTGGCAATGCCTTCCTCCCTGATTGTGCCTCAGGTGTCGGCAGATAACCGAGAGGGAAAACCTGAGGCTAATCAGGAAAAGGAGGAGGGCGTATTGGAGTCTCTGACAGAGAATCAAGCAGAGAAATGCTGGCTTGATGCGAGGCAGTGTCACAGGCAAAAGTGTGAACTGCAACGCAGGAAGAAGGGACGAATCAGAAACTGAGCTGAGGGACTGACACACCCCACAGGGAATAAAAGTGGGTGTGTTCGCTCTGAGAGTTTCGTACGGGACAACGTGTGATTTATTCAGAGGAGCTCCAGCGTATTCTGTGTTGTGACAGCTTGTGTGATTTATATTCTTGTTATCTTGTAGGACTTGGCAGACAGTGTGTGTGAGACTGCCAAGAACTTTATCGGCTCAAGGAATTAACTCTATAATTACTGGATTTGCTTGCTTGTTTGTATTCAGTTGGAGTTGGGACTCCTCATCTCCTTTGTAAAGGTGAGACATAACATAAAAGCTTTTACTATATTTTACACAGCGAAATCTATTGCTCTTTTCCATAAGTAAATATTGATTATACAAAAAATAGTTCCCAATTTATCATTTTTCAGCAGATAAACTAATAACAAAATGATTGTGATTCTTATGATATAAGTTTATGTTAGGAAGATTACTTACTTTTAAAAATTACATCATTTGGACAATCAGTTCATGTAAATAATAATGCAGATAGATGTTTGAGTTTACATACTCTTATCCTTCTATTGTTAAATTTTGTGTGTGTGTGTGTGTATGTGTGTTCAAGTAAGTACTGACTCCTGGCAACTGCCTAAACTAATATCTGCAGTTTTGTTGGCAAGATTTAAGAAATGGTTTGCCATTTTCTTCTTCCTAGGGCTTAAAGAGAGTGATTGGCCCAAAGTCACTCTGCTATCTTTGTGCCTAAGCAGGATGAGAACTCATCCAGTTTCTAGCCTAGTACCTTAACCATTATACCAAATTGGTTCTCAAGCTCATTTTAAATGTAGCTAAATACGGGCTAAAGCCATTGTGTTGATTTCATTGTAATTTCAGTATTATATAAAAAATAGAAAATACTGCCATCTTAAGGCCTTTATTTTTATATAGTTGCTCTATTTACCATATTCTGTTGTTTTCATTCAGAAGTTTAATCTATGATCTATCTAGATCTATGTACTATTACAATTATAGGTTCATGTGCCCCATGATTTTTAATGTAGGTTCAGCTTGGATAAAGATTAACATCATGTTGATAGCTAAATATTATTTTCCACTAGGAATTAAGCAATTTTTCTGACTAATTTTGGGGGAAATGTTAAAAATATCTACATTAGTAAGCATCTACAACTTCACCATTATCTTATCTCAGATTACATTAAAACCATTAACCATTATTTTAATATTTTTTTGTGTTTCTAAGTATAGCAAGTCTTCAGATTAAGAATAAATTCTGTTCCAGATCTCTCCTTAAACTGAATTTGTATGTAAACAAAAGAAGTTATTTATAAAATATAAATAAGAAACACCTAACCATTATAACTGTTATAAATTCACTATAAGTACTAATACTATACTATAATATAACTCATATTATGTAAAAGTAATACCTCAAAATAAATGCAGTTGTATTGCATTATAGTAATTTGTCTAAAAGATGGTGGAGAATTATTCTACATATGTATCTACATATACAGAAAATAAAACATAGCATGCATATAGATTCATAAAAATAATTGTGAAAAACTGATATTGTTTGATGAATGCTTGTATAAGCATCAAGGGCAAGAATATATGTGAACATGGTACATTTGGCCAATCCTTACATTAACAAAAATTGTTCATACTTAACATAAATACAGTATGTATGAATAAGAGATCAGGGAGAAATAAAATATGCAATAATTTGTTTCTTCAAGGGCATGGATTACATTTATACTGTATACATTAGTTTTACCACTTTAAATATTCGGCAATGCAAGTTATGTATTTTCTAATAGAAAAATAAACAAATATTTATGATATGATAAAGCATACCTTGGCACCCAAATAATTATACTGTAATTTCAAAGCTGTCAGCCTTTCATCTAGTTCTTTGGGATTTTCAGTTTGCTGCTTCTGTACAATCTGACGCCCAGTTTTTATTACTGTTTCCACTTCAGATTTCACTTCACTAAGAGTTTTATATAATTTCTAGTGAACACAAGAAAAGAGGAACTGTATTTTTATTTAAATAAAATGTAACTGATGCTTGCAATTTGCCTGAAGGATAATAAAATGCATGACATTGTGAGATATAACTTCCTTTGAAATACTCACCATACAATTATCCAGCTGTGACTGCATTGCTTCCTGCTCAACACTTCTCCATTCCAACTTTGGCACTTGCAATTTTACTTCATCTAAAATTCTTTTACTTTCTTGTAATCGCTGCTCAAAATTGGCTGGCTTTTGGAACAAGCGAAATTTCATAAAGACATCTTGTAATTTTTTCTGAAAAAAATATCAGAAAGGAAAGATATGAGCACAAAGCTTTAACTTCAATAATAAATCCAATTCAACAGACTTATAACTCTCCTTAGACCCTTAAAGTAGGGTATAATATATCTTGAATCTCTATACTTTACTATTCTTTTGTAAGTACAGTATATAAAAATTGGACCAAAACATATTTTAAAGAAATAAAATTACTGATAGCCAAAATCAATAGACAATCTACATAGAAATGACTGAAAACAACTGTTTAAGTTCTCCTCCTATGGATTAATTTGTATTAACTTTTTCCCCCAAAATTTGATGCAATATATCACTTTATACAAATAATAAATAATGAACTCATATTTAGAATTCATTATCTTCATAGAAATAGCAGTTAATTGTATGCATTCAGTTTAGAAAATATGTTAATTCATGGATTTCTTTAAGAAATATTATTCCTCAAATACATTCAGTCAGCCTCTGGTGGTTGGTGTAAAATATGTGAATATGAAAGAAAAAGAGTTATCTACCCAAAAAATGTAATTTTAAAGCAAAATTCTACCAACAACTATTATATAAATGATCTTTCTGGAAAAGAAAGAGACATATATGTTAACCTTTCCATAAAGTATTTCAACAGAGTTTGGAAATCCTGCATGATAAACTATATCATATTTTTCATTTTATGCTGCTGCCCACCATGAGCTGTTAACTCCATATCTAAAAAAAATTCCTCATTTGATCAGCTTAATTAACATATCATAATTTTGGATTCAACTTATTTTATTACTTTAAGGGTGGCCAAGTTTTGTCATGTAATAAATAGAATGTGCAGTAGCTAATTAACATGCTAAGTTAATTAATATTAATTTTATAAATCCATGTGCTACAAAGCACATTTTTGAATCAGGTCTAAAGCTTTGCACAATGTTAGTTCCTTTTCAGGTCATGGCATGTTGAATGAATGAATGAATGAATTTTTTATTGGCCACGTGTGATTACATACACAAGGAATTTGTCTTGGTGCATATGCTCTCAGTGTGCATAAAAAGAAAACATACATTGATTAAGAATCATAAGGTACAACACTTAATATTGTCATACGGTACAAATAGGCAATCAAATCATACTAGGAAACAGTCAGTATAAATTGTAAGGATACAAGCAACAAGTTACAGTCATATAGTCACAAGTCAGAGGGGATGGGAGGTGGATTAACACATAATTAAATTTATTTTGAATATTTGAAGCTAGATTTGAAATTAATCTGCAAAAGCAAATTAAGTTCACAAACCTGTGCAGTATCAATTTGAGAGAATATCCTTTTGGCAGATTCTTTACCCTGGTTACATTTCTTCATTTCATCCAAGCTAATCTCATGGCTTGTTAAGTCTGATTGAATTTTCTGGGTGGTGGTGGTGGAGAGAAAACATGTTTGAATCAAATTATATTATTTTTTACAAGATTAATATATCTGAATTTACACAAAGACATTGGAATAAATACATTTAAATTATTAAAGTTGAATTCCAATAGCATCAGTACACTAATAGATTGTACATTGTTGATAGAATAGATTTATATTCATTTGTATACTTCAAAACATTGCTCTGGAAGTTGGCTGATGCTCTAGATCAAATCTGATATGTATTTTCACAGATGGCTCAAAAACAGAAATAGACATTGTAGAAGTGGAGATTTGTATAATATGGATGGAACTGTATGATAAGAGTCACTCCAAAACCTAGACTTGCCCCATACAGAGAGATGAGTGGTATATAAATTTAATAATAAAAATAATAAATAAATAATGATAAATTTGAGGTGTGTGTTCAAAATGTAATTGTGTTCCAATATTAACTTTTTGTAACCTATTTAGAGTTACATTATTTGTATTGGGTAACTATATAAAAGCTATCAATACATAATTAAGTACTACAGCATGAACAGAATTAAAATACATACATACTAGAGCTACAAAACTAATAGTATTATTTGTAATAATCCTTTCAAAGTATTAAGAAAAAGATAATTCAAGTTCAGTTTCTCTGATATATGAAATTTCCAGTTTTCCATTGTTTTATTATGGTACTTCATAAAATGGAAACCATATTTAACATTAAAATATTAAAGGATGATTTGTCTGAGTTCTATATAATTTATTAGTTGGATGAGATGTCAAAAAGTAAATCCAATAGTAACATTAATGGTAAGATAATGATAAGACTGAGTGGCTTTTGGTTCATGAGCTTCAGGATCAGGGTCTTTAATATCTTTAGTTCTGGATGGGTTGAACTGCTTCAGACATACCCACTGCATAACTTGGGAATTCTGGACTCTCAACTGCTGCTTGAAAAGCAGGTGGCAAGTGTGGTTAGGAGAGCCTTTGTGGAATTTTGTACTGAGCCATTTGTGCCTTTCCTGAATCATGAGTCACTGTACTCACTCAGCATTGGTCATCTTATGTCTGGACTTTACAATGGACTCTATGTGGGGCTACCCTTGAAGAATATTTGGAAGCTACAGCTAGGAAGAATGAAACTGTGCAGATAGTTCTTGGGTCTCTAAGGTGACTCATGTTGCATTGTGCTGCATTGGTTGCCAGTTTGCTTCCTGGTCCAATTCAAGGTATTGGTTATTACCTTTAAAGTCCTTTGTGGCATGGGTCCAGATTACCTGAGGAACATCTCACTCCAATGGGATTGGCCCACCCCACCTGTGCATGCTGTAGACCCCAGCAGTAAAGGAATTCCAGTTGACCTTAGAGTCACCTCTTGGTGAAATGTGAGGCATACAAATTTAATAAATAAATAAATCATAAATAAATAAAATAGACAAGAAACAGAATAGAAAATAATTTTACTGTGACTATGGACATTGACATTACTCGGGCTCATCAATTTCACAAAATGACTGAATATTGGAAACATGCTCCTAAGAACAGTATGACCTGAAATAATACTCTTGTTGATTGGGTGGCTATACAAATATGATAAATTAATAAATAAAAATAAAATAATCTGAAATGGTTACAAAACCAACTAATTATACTTACCACAACAATACCAAGTGATTATTTCTGTATAGGACATTTGCATACAAGATATTGATTTTGGTTTTATATAAATAAATTTTAGCCAGATTATATATAATGGATTTCTTTTTTTATTCTTTTAATGGTCCTTCCATTTAACATCTACATAAAGATACTGGAAAAGATCACCTGTATGTATGTATGTATGTATGTATGTATGTATGTATGTATGTATATGTTTGTGTGTGTGTGTGTGTGTGTGTGTGTGTGTGTTCCGCATTCAATCATGTTTGATTCTTGGAGACTGTCAGGACAAGTTCCTGAAGTTTTCTTGGCCAGGTTCTGGGCCAAACCACTTCTGAAAAACCTGGCCAAGAAAACTTCAGGGACTTGTCCTAGCAGTCTCCAAGAATCAAACATGATTGAATGGGAACACACACACACACACACAGAGTACATACACTGCCTCTTTCTAGAGCCGAGAAAAAATGACTAGTCACTGAGTTGGCTTTGAGTATAAGGCAGGATTAGAATTCATGGTCTCATGGTTTCTATTCTGATGCCTTAACTACAACATAAAATTGGCTTTCATCTATCTATAACACTCTGCTCTTTTATATAAGACAATATGCATAAAATTGTACAAATAATTAAATGCAATATCTGTATGTAATTCAATAAGTATTCACTTGGGGGGGGTGTAAATATAAATTAATGAAAATAGTAATCATGATGAGTAACTTATGGCATGATAAAATTAGCACTTCAAAAAACTATTATTACTTTAATTTTACAATATAAACATTTGGTGTGATAAAATAATATTACATTAGCATCAGGAAAGATAAAATAAACATAAAATATAATTTTACTTGAAAATATATGTGATCCTTTTGATTTTATGCGGTTTCTCTTTCATTTGCCGGCTAGCAATTTTGAAAGAGTTAGATCAATGATAATTCTAGAATCATTGTAAGTTTAGAACAATCTAATAAAATAAATTCTTACTGACTCCTTGAAACATAGAACTATTTAATGCAATTACATGTTATATGGCTCACCTGTGCTTCTTGAGGTACATGTGCTGCATCAATTCGATCTATAATATATCCTGTTAATTGTCGATCAATGAAGGCCAGAGACTCTTGAATTAATTGAAGGGTTTTGTCAATCTCCTGAGCAGAGTGGATACTTTGTTCAAGAAACTTCTGACTTCTCACAGCCTAGAAAATAATACAAAGAATTACACATCAGTATTTTCAAAGTATCGTTTACAATATAGCTTGCAGTACAAACTAGAATTTCCAATTAATATATGACTACCTTTTTGTAAGATAAATTTCTTTGCTTCTTGCTAGCCATTTTATTTTTTAAAGAAATAACTGAGAAACAGCCAAAGTATAAAAAAAGAGGGATATTGAAGATTTTGATGATGAATAGAATATTTCAAATTGAAGTTCAATATTCTGCTTAGATAGTTTTTATTCTGAGGCCAAAGATATACCTGAACTTGTTATTTATCCCAAGAGATTTCCTTTGGGCAGAAGAGAATTACAGTCACCATAATCCATTTTAAGATAATCCACTGTAATGAGTGACAGGGATAAACATGTTGTTTATAAAGTAACTGGAACATAAGATATAAATAGTTTCTTAGAGCATGGATTAATCATAGGAATGGTTAGTTCCTTATTGTTTGTTTTTCATTGCATGGTTCACTACTAAGCCTACCTATAAACATTCTTAACAAAGTAGCATTCAACTTAAAATTACAAAAACTAAAGCATGCAGTAATCAGACTAACTTTAATATCACTAAAGCAAGTCTAGTTATATCACCTTAAATGTATCCCAAAATGTAAATCTAATGAATATGTTCTCTAGTTTCCAAAGGACACTTTTTGCAAGTTGTTCAATTATTTCTACTTTAAAATTTAAGATTAGACTAGCAGATGTTTGCTTATTTTTCAGGTTTGGTTTTGTATATGCAGATACAGAATGTATACACACACACATACATGCTGTATATTCATTAATTATACAGTGTGCATTATTTTATAAAATGTTTATTTATTTTAGATGCTACCCCCCTCATCTATGGGCAGTTTACAGACAGTAATAAAGATTAATTGCAAACAATTAACATTTTTAAAGCTATGCATAAAGCTAAAAGCAAGGAGATTAATGGCACAGGGATGAGGTCTTACCCTGTCAATTATCTCCAGTGGTTAGTGTTTTCTTTATAGGAAAATCAAATGCTATTGAAAGTTTAAATTGTTAATCTCATATTTTCAAAATTTTGTAAAATAAAGGAATGGTTATGAGCTATAAATAACCAGTGAAATGACAAACAATTTTAAAACATTTTTAAATAGGAAAGCAAACAAGCCTACATTTGTGATAATTATTATTGTCAAACCACTCACAAAATGGCTATATTGATATTGTAAACACATGGATCTTCAGTGATAATAATATGATATCACTAGGTCAGATTGGATGGATATTTTCCCTTCCCTTCAATGTACATGTTGCCACTCTTTGGAATAGTCTTTTCTCTGAAGTTCACAAAACCCTTACCCTATTCTGGAGAGGTATGAATATCTGGCTTTTTACCCAGGAATTGAACTAAGCTTTGCATTCACATAATAATGGAAACTACCTGTAAACTTCATTCACTAAGAAAACTCTATGAAAAGATTCCAATAAATTACTTAATGGAAGCTTTCAGTAGGAACTTCCTTCCTATTCCTTCTTTAGATTGATACTACACTGTCATATTTTGATTCAAACCCTGAGATAACAGTGTCTCTTAACTTTTAAGTACCCAAGAATATTAATACTTTGCATCTCGGGTTGCAACTATTGTCATGTATAAACTTGTGAGTATAAGCTGGGTATGTTTTCATTAAAACATTTCTAGTATCAATACTGGTAGTACATATTATTTGTAAATCAAGTTCAATGGAATGATACTTAACTGTACTGTATGGTTATAGAATAGGGCCATTTTTTTTCTCTATAGGTGTCAGGGATGCCCCTGCACAATCCCTAGGAAAGAAAAACCCTTGACTCCATAGAGTTAGAGAAAAGTACTTTTACTAGGAAAGAGCTCAATGCAGCAAAAGTCAGGCAAGATCTGAAGCAAAATGCATGTGAAGAAACAAATTGAAACAAACCTCAGAGCACACACTCCAGTAGCCAGGCAACCAGAGTTCAATCCTTAGCCAGGAAGTTATTTGGGGAAAGTCTCTGGTTTAGATGCATCACTTCTCCTTCATTCATTCCGAAGCCAGGACTGTTTGCCTTGAAAATGTTAAACAACCAAGCTGGCGTCTCTGAGTCCAGGCCTCCTCATTACTTCTCAGAAATTCCATTTGCACCTCCTGCATGCTTCCCCTCCCAAATACCCAATGCTTCTCACCCCCATCATTTCCATGGTAGCTGGCAGCAAGATTGAAAGAAAGCAAAGATGCAGGCTGACATTCACCTCCCACCTTTAAAACAGAGGCATTTGCCCTAAAACAAGAAAACAAAATACCAGATATAGACTAGATACTGTGCAGAAAGCTGAAGAATTCTATAAACAACACTGCAACACTAAAGAAGACTCAGGAGAACAAGAAGAAGAAAGCGACACAACAGAAGGAAGAGATCAGAGGTGGTATTCAGCCGGTTTGCACCAGTTCTGGTCGCAAGAATTTGGTGTGGGTCGCAGAACAGGTAGTGACTTCTGGCTGGCCACGCCCCAAAACCGGTTCCCCGGTCACCCAATTGCTCATCTACCTGATGCTCGCTCACTCACGCAGCTCGCCCACCCACTGGTTGCCCCGCCCAGTCACTTCTCCCTTCCTATGTGGCACACTGGGCCTTCGTGGCTTGCCTAACGTGACTTCTCCACGTGGTGCCTGAGCCCCAACTGAGCAGCCCTGCTCTGCCTGCACTGCTCACAGTAATTCTGCATTGCGCTAGGCCCTTGCCCACCCCCCAGGGCCTTTCCATGCCTCTGCCCCACCACCCAGGACCTTTCCAGGTGGGAGGAGGCCAAGGTGGGGCACCATTTTCGGGCCAGTCCAGAGGGCGGGGGTGGGGCAGTGGTGGTGGCAGCACAGCTATGGGAAACAGCCCCAGGAGTTCCTGGCCTTCCTTTCGGGGTGCCTCCATGCCCCTCCCCACCCCAGCAGAGGGGAGAAAAACAGAAAGCCAAGGGCTTTCTCCTTCCTTTTTGGGGCTCTTCTGTGCCCCTCTCCACCCCAGCAGAGGGGAGAAAACAAACAGAATGCCAAAGGCTTTTTCCTTCCCTTTCAAGGACCTTCCACATCCCTCCCTGCCCCAGCAGAGGGGAGAAAACAAACAGAAAGCCAAAAGCTTTCTCCTTCTCTTTTGGGGCTCTCCTGCGCCTCTCCCTGCCCCAGCAGAGGGGAGAAAACAAACAGAAAGCTAAAGGTTTTCTCCTTCCCTTTCAGGGATCTTCCGCACCTCTCTCCACCCCAGCAGAGGGGAGAAAACAAACAGAAAGCCAAAGGCTTTCTCCTTCCCTTTTGGGGCACCTCTCTCCCATAGCTGCGCTGCTGCCACTGCCCCCATGCTGCTGCCCCCCCACACCGCCACTGCCGCTGCTGTTGTGCCCCAAAAGGGAGGCTGTGATCTGGGGCTGCTTCCCATAACCGCACCATGCCCGCCCACCGCCCCGCCACCCCCGCTGCCCATGTGCTTTGAAAGGGATGTTCCGGGGCTGCTGCTTTCTTCATTGTTCTGCCGCTCACTGCTCTGGATTTCACCCAATAAGTTCTTCCCAGAAAAGGGGTGTGTGTGAGAGAGATAGAGACAAGGAAGGAAAGGGAGGAAGGGCAAGAAGGAAAGAGCAAGAAAGGAAGAAAGAGGAAGGGAGAAAGAGGAAGGGAGAGAAAAAGAAAGAAAGAGGAAGGGAGAGAAAGGAAGAGAATAAGAGAAAGAAAGAAAGAAAGAAAGAAAGAAAGAAAGAAAGAAAGAAAGAAAGAAAGAAAGAAAGAAAGAGCAAGAAAGAGGAAGGGAGAGAAAAAGAGGAAGGAAGGAAGGAAGGAAGGAAGGAAGGAAGGAAGGAAGGAAGGAAGGAAGGGAGAGAAAGAAAGAGCAAGAAAGAAAGAGGAAGGGGAGAAAGAAAGAGAGAGAGAGAAAGAAAGAAAGAAAAGAAGGAAGGGGGAAGAGAAAAATCCTGTGCTATTATTTTTAATTGTTCCATTATTTATCATATATTAATATTTTGCACTGTCCCTACACCTAGAGTGATTTTACTGCCTTTCTTTTGCCCAGGTACTTTTCATGGTTTATATGTCAATAGTCCAGAGCATAAATACAGGTGTGTTTAACAGAGTTGAAAGGGACTATGGAGGTCTTCTAGTCCAACCCCCTGCTCAAGCAGGAAAACTGTGAGGATGCCAAAATCTGAATAGAGGTCCTGGGAAAGGTGTCAGAATAACAGAATAACACTTAGAAGGGACCTTGGGGGGAACTCTATACCATTTCAGAGAAATGGTTGTCCAGTCTTTTCTTAAAAACCTCCAGTGTTGGAGCACCCAGAACTTCTGGAGACAAGCAGTTCCACTGGTTAATTGTTTTCACTGTCAGGAAGTTTCTCCTTAGTTTTAGATTGCTTCTCTCTGTTCAGTTTCCATCCATTGCTTCTTGTTTACATTCTGCTTCTTTGGAAAATACATTGTCCCCCTTTCTTTGTGGCAGCCCCTTAAAAGCCTATTGCCTATCACACTCTTGGGCAAAGCATGTGAGCCATTTCCTCCTTTCAGTGGCCCATGAAAGTACATCTATAGTATGTAGATAATAAAGTCAAAAAAAGGTAAACATTTTAACAGAACTATAGATACGTTGAGGCTGGGTGTGACAAGGAATGGCTGGGAGGAGAGGGGCCAGGCGAGGCACCCCTTGATGTGAGTGACACACCCACCCCGTCACATGACCACCAAGCCACACAGCCAGTCATGTGACCACCAAGCCATGACCACCCCAGTCACATGACCACCAAGCCATGACCACCCAGTCATGTGACCCTAAGCCACAGCCACCAAATAAGCCATGCCCACAGAATCGGTAGTAAAAAAAATTTGAATCCCACCACTGGAAGAGATATAGGATGAGTGATTGAAGAAAAGGAAAGGCCACGGGTTACAGAGAAAGTCAGGAGAGGAGGAGAAAGGGATAGACTAGAATACCATGAAGAAGAATTGAGG